GGGGAGGGGGGGGGGGGGCGTTGCGCAGCAGGCTGCCGGCGCGCCGGGCCTCGTGCGGGGGAGCGCGTCCGCTCGCGGCGCTAGGGGGGCGGGGCGCAGGGAGGCTCCTCCCCCATCCCCGTGGGCGGAGCCGGGTCGAGCCGACAAGATGGCGGCGGCGCTGAGGGCGGGGGAGAGGTTGCGGTTGGTGGCGGGAGCGCCCAGCCTCGGTGAGACGGTGGCGGGGGCAGAGCGGGGCCTGGCTCGCCGTGAGCTCGGGGTGGCGGGGAGCCCGTTGGGGTTTAGGCGAGTGGGAGTCTCGTCTTCTGCCCCGAGAGCGTTGTGCGTTGGAGGGCTGGGACGGCGCCCCGCGGCCTGTCCGCTGGACCGAGCGCCGTGGGAGCTCGGCTGCCTGCGGGGGGGGCCCGGTGTCGTCCCCGTTAGCTGGAGCGCTCCTCGCTTCGTGCCTGGAATTAAAGCAAGCTGCAGTGGCAGTGTCCCTCTTGTTATTTTTTTTATACAAACCAATTAGGTTTGGGGGTTTTTTTTGGTATTGAGTTGGTGCAGCTTCCAGGCCGGGGGGAGGACCCGCCGTTCCTCACGGCAGCTGTGGTGCCGGTCCCCCTCGGGAAGGCAGTGCCGGGGGGTGGGAGCTTTCTGCAGGGGACAGTAAGAGGCAGTGCAAGCAAAAAATGGGGTAGGGTATGGGTTTTTGTGGCCGGGGAAAGGCACTGCTTTCAACTGTTGGCAGGGCCGCATCCCCTCTCTCCTTTCCCTCGGATCTGGGAGTGTGTTATGGGGACCATTTATAGGTGATAATTTGATCTGTTTGATTGTTTTGTTGTTGTGGTTTGGTTTTGGGTTTTTTTCCTCCTGATTGTATGAGTGTCAGTAACTGACTTGGTAGTCTAAACCTGAAAAATGCTAACACGTTTGTAACCTTCTGCCTTTTTAGCTTTTACTCGGTCTGCATTTGTTGCAAAAAGACGTAATTATGACCAACCAAACTGGTTTGGAGTTGGCTTGGCTTTTAGCACCACTGCTGCCTTGTGGGCTCTTGTAAGTGTTTTGATTTGGTTTTGTTGAACTTAACTATTCCCAAACCATAGTGATCTGAAGACAATGACTACAACCTACTTAGCAGATTGGGGTAATGGATGGTCATAGCAGCTGTCGAGATTGAAGCATGATATGTGGATTACTTGTGTTTTCCCAAATCTATCTTGCACTTTTGTTTATAAAAATGAACAACTTAAGCTTCTCTCTGTTGCAAACTTAAAACAGCCACAACAGAAGAATTAATTCTTCAAGACTGTTGTTTTAAGGCTTTAACATTGTTTTCCCCAATGGATCTTAAAAAAAACCCACACAAAACAAACACTAGGGATGTTTCTAACTAATGTTGTGTTTATCAGACTACAGATGTATTCTCTTCTTGTTTTTCAGCCGTAGTCAATTGATTAAGACCCTTTTTTCCTGAGCAAAATGCAGATGTAAGATGTTCCCTGGTTCAGAGAACTCACAGGCTTGATGTTGATAAAGCAAGCAGAGTGTAGTAGCTCTCATGAAGAAATGTGCAGGTCAAGGAGCACTCCCATGATGACAACACTTTTCAGGGTGGGGTGGATTCCCTTTGGGGCTTCCCCCATTTTTGGAGTGGTGGTGGATTGATTGACAGTAGGGCACACCACCACCAACCCCTCCTCGGCCAGCAGAAAATGAAAAAGGTGTGGACAAAATGCCTAACTGGACATTCGATAATTTACTCTGTATTGTCCCAGTTATGTATTGGTTTGCATTCTGATAATAGGAATTTCATATTCTGTAGAAATCATTTTGTTCTCTGGTTGCAGCTGGGCATTGTATAGCTGTTTATCATATACTGCTATTTTATAGCTTTTCAAGCAGCATAATGAAGATATAATGGAATACGAAAGAAGAAAACAAGAGAAACAACATAAGTGTACAGGATGTTCATAGTAAGTATGTACATACAGATGCTTTTGACTCAGCTGAACACAGATTCTGCAGATCTTTGACTTCTGTTAGAAATCAAGATGTTGGACTGACTGGCCTTCTTCCCTTAATACTTTACATCTTGGCTTTTGCTATTACTCTAACTCATTCCCGACTGATCTATATATTCATTTGTGTGCAATTTCATTGGCAGCCTTCTGTCTTGGACATGCAAACTTGGAAAATAACGCATCTCTTAGTGTCCGTAATAAATTTACGTCGCAAAGAGAATACCTTACAAGTGCTTTAGTGGCAGGGAGATCAAGGACGCTAAAAATAGCTTATCTTTGCCTCTCTTCTTATTTTAACAGGTCTACAGTGGGAAACGTTTTTCTCAGTTTCACCTGTATATTACACTAAAGAACGATTAAAAAGTCAGTGCCCGTAGACTTGCATTATAGTGCAAATTGTATGTGGTCATTGTCCTTTTCAATGTAAAAAACATAATTGTGTTTCTGCCAGCTAAAATGTCTGTTGGGGATTATGACCTCCAATTATGGCCAGCAATTAATATGCCACAGGACAGAATTCCTTATACTAGCTACTGAAAAACCTGTAGTGCTGTCGTTATTTTCCCATAAATATTCCTCTCCAGCTAAAAATATAGTATGCTTTGAGGTGTTTCTAACCATCTATTTTTCTTGTTGCTAAGATTTTTTTTCCCTTCTCTTTCTTAGGTTGACAGTATGCTCAGTAAGAAGTAACATGATCACCAGTTGTCCTACAAATAAAGGAGCACAGCAGAAGTACAAAGTATCTAAATACTTATATGTTCATACATTTCATGTGCAGAATTCTGAAATATATTATAAGGTCTGGAAGAAACTTATGAAGACTATTCTTGTTCTGCTGGTCCTGAAACTGTTTTATGTGGCATTCCCGTTTCATAGTTTATCAATGTTAATTTCAAAACTCTCTTTGTTATTCTGGAAGGTATATTACAAAATGACACCAGTTCAGAGGCAGTTCGGCAAATATTCCAGAAGTGTACTCTTGCCCTGCTATCATTTTCATTGTTAAATTTATAAAATAAGCGATAAGCAAATACAAGAATGGGATTTATGGGAAACCTAATAAAACTAATCTGTACAAATGCCGAAATGTGCATTTGCTACTTCACACATCAAAGAAGTAGCTTTTGACTCGGTCTTGACCGGGTAGACTTTCAGAGCTTGACCTAGTGACTTAAAGATACTGTAATTAAAGTTACACATCTGTTTGTAAGCTTGATCTAGTGCCTTGGGTGCTGCTGTTGTTCTTCAGTCCTTTGTGGATTGATTTTTTTTTTCTTAAATTTTTTTTCTTTGCCTAGCACTGACATGGAGCTTTGTCAGAGACGACAAAAATCAGAGGTGGCCAACCTCTAAATTCTGTGTGGGTCTTTATTATTTTTCCTTGCCAGGAAGCTTGCTTTGCTTTTGCTACTGCATGCAAAGTTCAAATGTATTCTGTATTTTCAGAAACCAAGGACGAAAACTGTGTCTTGAATCTTGGAAACTGTTTAACTGACCTGCAGCTCATGAGTCCATCCCTTCCTCAGCGGCTATTATGTAGGTTCTCTGGGACACTGCTGCTTTTCTGTCTTGCAGCTCTGAGGGGATAGTGCCAGTTCTGCGGTGTTTGTTCAGGGCGGTTGAGGGGGGAGAGTGTGCAGTGCCTTGCCCAGGGCAGCTGCCTCTGTCATGGAAGAGGAGAGGTTGGCCTTCCCCTGGCTGCGCTTTCGGAATTGCTCGCTGCCTGAAAGGTGCCTGCAACCTCAGGGGTGAGACCGTGTGGCCAACATCGGTCTGCCGCGTGTGTGCTGCCTTCTGAGTGATTATGCCTTTGCCTTCTCTTCGTGCATCAAGGTCAGTCAAGGACAAAGGACGGAAAAAGGGGATAATGACAGTCAGCAGCATGTGGCATTAAATAATCATTGATGGAACGCTAAAGCTATGTATAGAGAAGGGACAAGTAACAGCGAGCAACTGTCTGTGCGGGGAGGAGAAGGGCAGCTGCACAGCTCTGACCCCGAGAGGCCCGTGACTTTTAACGGCAGTGATTTGCTTTCTCAACGTTGAAGTCCCCTTTCCTAGTGTTTAACCTGAGTGCCCTTTGCTGTGAATTTACTTCATTTCTCCAGATCTTTTCCCGGGCGTTGTTGGGAAAGGAACGCTCCGGGAGAACTTTGTGGCTTAGTCAAGCGTTGTGCTCCTCGCCATCCTTCCCACCCCCGCCGGTGAGCGCAGTCCCGGGTCTCTTTCCTCGTATTCTGGGTCTGTCGGGTTCTCGGTAATTCCTGCCACCGCAGTCTGTTGGAGGGCGGAATTTCCCAGCGGACGGTTCGGCGGCCGTACCCGGCGCGGCAGCCTTCACCCCTGCGTTCCGG